AGGGAAAGCAGAAACATGTTTGATAATACTTGAATATTAAATCTGTCATCACAAAATATGAGGGGTTTTGTTTTGGTTTTTTTGAAGGCCATATGTTTCACAGGCTTGTGCTGTTGTGGTGAGTTGACCCTGACTGGACACCAGGTGCCCACCGAAGCTGCTCTGTCACTCCTCTCCTCAGCTGGACAGCGGGGAGAAGATATAATGACAGGCTTAGGGGTCGAGACAAGGACAGGGAGAGATTACTCGCCGATTACCATCATGGGCAAAACAGACTCGACTTGAGGAAATTAATTTAATTTATTGCTGGTTAGGAATCAGAGGGGGCTAATGAGAAGTAAACCCAAATCTTAAAACACCTTCACCCCACCCCTCATTTCTTCCCAGGCTCACCTTCACTCTTGATTTTTCTCTACCTTTCCCCCTGCCAGTGGCACAGGGAATGGGGTTTGGGGTCAGTTCATCACACATTGTCTGTGCTGCTCCTTCCTCCTCAGGGGAGGACTCCTCGCACTCTTCCCTTTCTCTAGCATGGGGTCTCTCCCACAGCAGACAGTCCTCCAGAAACTTCTCCAGTGTGAGTCCTTCCCATGACAAACTGCTCCAGCATGGGTCCCTTCCATGGGGTGCAGTCCTTCAGGAACAGACTGCTCCAGTGTGGGTTCCCTATGGGGTCGCAAGTCCTGCCAGCCAACCTGCTCCAGCGTGGGCTTCTCTTTTCACGAGGCCACAGGTCCTGCCAGGAGCCTGCTCCAGCGTGGGCTTCCCACGGGGTCACAGCCTCCTTTGGACATCCACCTGCTCCAGTGTGGGCCTCCATGGGCTGCATGGGAATCTCTGCTCAGGTGCCTGGAGCACCTCCTCCCCCTCTTTCTTCACTGACCCTGGTGTCTGCAGGGTTGTTCCTCTCACACAGTCTCATGTCTCTCTTCCATCTGCTGTTGCTCACGCTTTTTCCTCCCCGATTCTTAAATCTGTTATCCCCGAGGCGCTACCACCATCGCTGATGGGCTCAGCCTTAGCCAGCGGCGGGTCCATCCAGCTGGCATTGGCTCTGTCGGACACAGGGAAGCTTCTAGCAGCTTCTCACAGGAGCCACCCCTGTAACGCCGCTGCTGCCAAAACCTTGTCACACAAACCCAATATGTAAAGGCAACCTTTACTTTAGGTAATATTAGCACAATATTAGAATCCCTTCAGTCTGACTGAAATAGTCATAATTATTTTACTTGTTATTCATCAGAAATTGTGTCTGATCTTTCCGTACTTAAAAATTGCCAAACCTGTGTGTGTTTTGACAGAAGACAAGGTTTCTGTCTGGTAACTATAGTAATCAAAGTGGCATAAAGATTTAGGTTTTTTTCACTTTCTTTTTTGCAGTTTGGTTGAACAGACCAATTCACAGCATCAGCAAGTCATGCCACAGACAGTTCTTCTGAAGACCTTTTGGCCGGGAAGCGAAACCTCAGTGCTTTTTAGCAAACATATAAATATTTTAGCAGATTGGGTCGTGCTTTCCCATAGAGAATTGAACAGAAAAAATGATGTGAGTATGAATTTTGTACTTTAAAATAATGAAGACCAGCATATTTTTTTTAAAGGTGTTCCTTTGTTCATTCCTTTGTGAGGAATTATATGTAAGTATCACAGCTGCTTGTTATAGCTGCCTTTTGTTGTGAAGCGTGCTGGGTTTTGCTCCACTAAAGGAAATGAATTGATCCATAAGATTCTCATATTGATCTGTAGAGAAGAAACGAGTCATGAGTAGCTTGTTGGCTACATTCAGATGTTCACATGCCCTTACCAGCAGGTATTACTGTAGTCATTAGGGACACCAGCTTAACACATCCTGTCAAACAATAAGGTGTAACGAAAGAGGTGATTATCTTATTTTACAGTGATTGTATTCAGGAAATGTTGGAAGGAGAAAGCGAACAAAACTAATAGTTTTTTCCTGTTTTCTACAGATACGCATTATTTTATTTTAATAAATGCCCCAGTTTTCTTCACGAGTCCTTTAGTTTCGTTTGGTATCTTCCCTAGGTCTTTTCATAAAAATGGAATTGAAGGCAACTTAATTGCTGTTCTGTGACCTGCTGACCAGCAGGACATTGACCTGAAAGATACTGAGTGTCCTCTATACCACCTCTTTCTTTTCAGAAGCTAGAGGCCTTGTAAAACATCTTTGACTTCTAGATTTTCACATAAAATACAAACTTACTGCTGTCTCTGCATTCTCTTTTAAATTACTGTGAAAGCACAGAATAAATAGGTACTTCATTCACTTTTTCAATACAATAACAGAACAACAATAGAAAATCAAGTATTCCAGAGAAAAAAGCACGTTCAATATAATACCTGGTAGTTCTTCATTATGTTAAGAAAGCAGAAGGATTAAACATAATGAGAGCTTCACTCATCTTACCTAGCCAGACCTCCTACCTTTTTTGAGGGCTTTCAAAGCAAGACATTCTGAAACAGTGCTGCCTTTTATCCTTGGTCAAGATGTTAAAAAAGTGCCTAAAATTAGGCTTCTATACCGATATTTATATTTAAACAACCTACCTTTTCAAAGGTACTGAGCACCAAGCAGGCTTGCATTCAGTTGGTGTCAGTGGCCATTCTGTTTCTTTGGAAAATGAGACTGCTTTCATACATTTCCTGGTGTTGAATCTGCAGTTTAAGTGTGGGCACCTTTTTCTTTTTTCTACTATGCCTTCTTTTGACAAGTTCCAGCACTGTAAGCCATACCTTTTTTTTCATAAACTGTTCTTTGCATAAGCAGAATAATCACTTGTGTCAGACAGAGCGTAGTACATATATGAAAAATAAACTTAAAAGAAAGAATGAAACATAACATAAAACGTAGACCTACCTCTTGTTTAGATTCTATTTTCTTTATATACATAGATAGGAATTGTACTTTCAGCTCAAAACCCAGATGCCTATTCCTTTCCCTCTTTGATCTTATGCACTGTAATGTACAATATCCCTGCAGATATGAATTCTAGCCTTAAAAAGCGGCTTGTTGCTTTATAGTATCTGTAGTGTTGTGTGTTCTTTCTTACAACCTTATTCTTTAACTTCGTATTTATATATTGCATTTTTCTTTCCCTTTGTATTTTTTGGCAAATACAAACTCTAAAACAAAATACCATATTTTTACATTCAAAACTCATCATTGTCCCTTTCTGCACTCTCAGTTTTGTTATACTAAATCTTAATCTACTGATTTTTCCATATATTCAGAGACTTCATTTAAAATTCCATGACATAGTTGAAAAGGTTACTCAGAAAGCCAAGGGAGCAGATCCTCCCCAGCTACGTAGGCAGTACTGTTTTTTCTTTTCTCCTTTTTCTGTTATTTTAGAGATGCATAAATAAAACCACAGTATTTCCATGTCATTAGATATAGCCTGTTGGGTGCAAAATTTCACTTTATCCCTGGTTTAAGGGTGTGAGTCATTATTAACTAGTTTTGTTTTTTAAAAGTCATTTGTTTAAGAGGCCACACATTGTCAAGAAACGCATAAGGCCGTTCAGAAACCTAAAAGAAAGGAGTGACTTTGAGTATTCTTACTGTCTGCATGGGCATGGAAATTGTTTCATAGCACAGTGTAAAGGGATGACCTTGTTTCCCACTTACGCAAGTGTGTTTGCTTGTGGGAAGGAACAAACGTGCCGGTTGTGGTATTCTGAACTTCCATGGAATCCTCCCGTGGAAATTTCTGTAAATGAAAACAGGTGAATAATTTAATTAAATTCCTTTTTGGGGTATATCAAACACATTCTTTTCTAAGTGGTGAAAGTGGGCAATTATTTATTTATTCTTTCAGAGTCAGATTCTCTTTTTTTTGTGATTCAAAGAGATTCCACAAATCAGCACTAGAGTGGAGGGAAAATACCTGAATATGTTTCCTTTCTTTTAGTGCTAATTTGTTGAAAAATTACGTGTGTGTGTGTGTGTGTGTGTAAAAAGAGAAATCCAGAAACAGTTACAGTATTCTAAGTGAGAAGATCCGTGCTGAAATTCAGTTACTGGTTTCCTTGACTTACATAGTTGGAAGATATTTTACTTTTCAGGCGTATTATAACCTACATAAGAAAAAGGAAGAATGAAGGGCTCTAAAGACTTAAGTTACACATATGAGTGCATTGGTTTCTTGTGTTAGATAGAATTTACTTTATCTGAAAAGTACCAGAATAAAATTAATGACAGGAAATTGGATGCCCTTGCTCATCAGTGTGTTAATCTGCAGGGACAGCTTGGTGGAATAGAACTGATACACTATCCTTGTAGTTAAAAATGCGCTGCCAAAGAACGTAGGAGTTTTTCTGTCACTTGAGATCTTCAAATCAATATTGAATATAATTTTAATATGAATAACATTTATTATTTAAATAGGTTTGATGCAGAAACTCCTGGTTACTTGAATCAAAGCTGTTAATTCAGTCTTAGAATTTACAAAGGAATGTATATATTGCTTATAACACTTTGAGTAGCGTTGAGCTATTGCATGGCTTTTCACAGCGTCACAAATGGTGTCAGAAGTGCTTTTCATCCCCGATACTACCGGTGTTTTTTTTAAAAAAGCCATCTTACATAGCCTGATAAAGGTGTCAGAGAGGCATTAATTTGATTTTTTTTGTTGCATCATCTTGCATATTTCTAATTTGTTTTCTTCCATGTTTCAGCCATTGTTACCTGGTATAAATTTTTCTGGTGTAAATTAGTTGAATTAAATGTCTTTCTGGTCTATCTGTGACTTGCAGTAACTTTCTTGGAACTGTATTTTAGGTGCTTTTGGAGTACTGCGTAACTCTAAAAACATTTATACCACATAAAAAAGAACTCTAAAGAATAACCCTGTAATTCAAAGTAAAATAGCTAAAATGAATTTTCCTGTGACTGAAAAGCTTCCCTGTAAGAACTTTTATGTGTACTAAAACACTCTGTGAAACTTCTGTCACGGTAGCACTGTACTTGACTTGGCTAAGCATTAAATGGATCAGTGATGTAGAAATTGCATTTGCTAAGCTGGCAGACATCAGTGGTACTGATGTGACCTTTGTATGCTAACACGGTCAACAGCCTCTTCCCACTTCAGTGCTTTTCTCAGTGAGATAGCTTTGATTCTCAACAGTAACAACAAGGAGGAGAGTTTGGAAAAAAGGTTTAACTGGATCTTACTTAATTCGCTGTGCATGGTGTAGTGGGTTGACCCCAGCTGACAGGTAAGTCCCCACCCAGCTGCTCACACACCCACCCCGCAGCAGGATGAGAGAGAATCAGAAGGGCGAAAACTAGAAAACTCGTGGGTCGAGATAAAGACAGTGTAACCTTTGGTCATTTTGGGTCAGCTATCCCAGCTGTGCCCTCTCCCAGCTTCTTGCACACCCCCAGCCCACTTGCTGGGGGGGGAAGAGTGGGAAAAAGAAAAGTCCTTGCAGCTGTCATCCGTGGTAGTGATTCCAAAGTTTAATGGAAATGCTTGCTTCTTTTTTCCTTTAGAATATTGCTTGTGTTTTCATAGTAATGTTGTCATAGTAGTGATGTCAAATAATTGCTTTTGTGGTTGAAAATGAAAATAATGAGATGTTAATATTTAAATATTTTTAGAACAGACAATACTTTCAGTAAACTGGAGAGCATATCCCTCCTCATTTGTAGCATTGAACCATTTATTTCAAAATATTAAGGAGAAGCTCTTAGCCTGTATACCGCTGTTTTACCAAATGTTAACAAAGCCTGCACCCATTGCCAGTATCTGGTTTGTCTTTGTCAGTGTGCAGATACTTAGCTGAGCAAACGTATTTGCAACTAGTGTATCAGCCACAATTAATATGCAGCTATATATCTGACTGCGAAACAGTATTAACATTTGCAGTATTAACAGTAATTATTTCAGTCTGCTGCCTCAAGGTCAACTTTCACTCTCCTCCCGTTTCCTTGAAAATATTTCGTAGATGAAGTAATACAAGCTTGTGATTTAGAAATAGAAAAAGAATGTAAATACTTGTGGTTTACATCTCTATTTACCTCAGATTGCATCTATATGTCCTTGATCCTGTCACTCACCTCTGTTAAAACTATGCTTATTTGCTGCATTTGTATAATTTATTTCCTGCAGAGAACTATTGATGGAATTTAATTATTCACCCAGTATTTTGCTTTGGGGTCCAATGATAAAAGAGGGAAATTTGAATGCATTTCAGATGTTTTAAGTTAGTTCTTCAGTTTCTATTCCTGAGTCCTCAGAAGATCGGGAGTAATGTAGCTTTTAAAATATTTAAGTTTTAGTTGAAAAATTTACTTTCATGTTGTTGACATGCCATATCAATGTTCTCAGGGGTTTTTTTGTTATGCGATCCCACAATTCATCTACAATAAAGTGTTATGTACAGGAAAGCAAGAGGCATACCGAATCAAGTAGTGCTTAACAGAGTAAGAAGAAGTAGAGCTGGAAGCCATCTCAGAGATCACATTACTAACAGATTTTGCCTGGCCATTTCTTAAAAGCCGTCAGGATGGAGGTTATACTGCCTCCCCACAGAGTATTTATTTTTAGTACGTTTATTCCTTTTCTTTTGCATGACAAGTAAGTCTATTATCTTTAGGGACCTTATTTATGTAGGTTTTCAACAAATTACTTTGTAATCTTTTTTATAATAAGTCTCATCTGTGTCACAGTCTCTGTTGCTCCTATATATGTCTGTTTGATTTACTAATGGAGCTCAAACTGTTTCAGTCTTTGGTGCTTTCCAGCTACTGAGGGAATCCTATTAAATTATTTTAAACCAACATTGAACATACTTTGTTCTCAAAGGAGTATCAGACAAACCATTGACTGTGGTGTGAGGCCACAGCAACAGACAGAGAAGTTTTGTTTCCTGTAAGTAGTTCTATAACATCTAAAGCTGATGATTAAGTAAGTACATATTCAGTTCAATTTCCCTCTTATCCAAAATTGTCCATTTTGAAGTACTCATTCTTTTTCACTAGAATGCAATATATTGGCTAATGGTCTGCTGTAACTATAGTGATTCTCTGGTAGAGCCTTAGGTAGGTATCTTTGGGCAAATGAAGTTTCATGTGTTCCTACTATGGTGCACGTATTCTTCCACTTTGTTCTTTCAAAACTGACATAAAAATACTGGATTTTCTGTGGTTGTCCATGTGGTCAGAGGAATAACTTATTTCAGAATCATGGCATGAAATATTCTACGTGGCACAGAAGGGTGTTGGGTAGACGGATCTGACTTGAATTTGCACAGACTAGCTCAGACACTAGAAGCACTGCTTTACCCAGCCACTACTGATGAAGTGAAGTGCTCATGGCAGGGAACAAATGTGTTTGTCTGTCTCACGGTACTTTCTGGATAGCATGTTGAAGTGCTGTCTCAATGCCTCCAGGAGAAAATATGCTTTGGCTTTTTATCTCCAGATGACCATTTACTGCAGGTTCAGGGGAGAAAAAGGTAAGGTAATACCTGTAAGCATGTTCTTTCTAAATTTGCAGCTGCTAGTCTCTTGGAATTTTTGGTAGCAGAAGTTTTCTGATCCCAGAAATGGGCTGCCAAAGTTTTTTCCTGTGCAGAAAGCTAACACCTTGCATCCTTTTCCCTTTTGGCACAGATGTACATGGTTGGTCACAAAAGGAGCTTTAATGTCATGATGAAATCTTTAGGAAAAGAGAATCCTAATAGAGCAGGGAGAATAGGATCCCTGTAATTGTAAAATTAAACACAAGGTTAACTAGCATAAATGCAGTACTTGAAATCTTATAGTTAAACAAAACCTAATTTGAAAAGAAACACTTTGTGCTTGTAAGCTTTGATCCCATTTTGCATGTTGTTTTAGACAAGATGTTGTCAAATAATTTGTGTTTCTTCAGTGCCAAATCTTAATTGATGTGGCATCGGTGGCATATTAATTTCGTTGACCTGGCTGCAACAATTAGCTTCTGAGCAGAAAAAGAAAAGCCAGTGAAGGAGTGATGTGGCAACAGAGTGGGCTTTTATCTAAAGTAGTTCTCTCGTGTTACTACTGGTACGTTATCAGTGTGAATTTGTTACACAGTACAGGTCTATATATACTTTCTTTTTTTTTTTTTTTTTTCATTTAGACTTTCAGATGTGAAATAGCTCGTCTATTAGATGGAATTCTTGGAACTGTAGTGGAATATTGGATCATCTCAAGTTTGCTTATGGACAGAAATGTGTTTCATCAAATAGCTGATGATTTGGCACAGTACCTTGCCATTTCATCTGATGGTAAGTGTTTGAAAGGCCTCTCAGTCTTTTAATCAGATAGACTAAAGTCCAAACTAAAATCCTTAGTTTTCTTTCAAGTTATATTTTACCTTCTGTTGCGGCTGTGCAGTCTTACAGTGTGATGTGTATGTATGTTTTATTGTGTGTATGTGTCTGTCTGTCCCAAGCAAAGACCAAGTAGAACAGGCTTTCTTATTAAAATCCCTCTAAATAAATCTCAATAGGTATTAATGCAAAAGCAAGACTACGCAGTGTGAAGAAGAAGAGCTGTCTTGTCGGTTTAGGAAGAGCTTTAAGCATATCATAGTAAGCCATAACTTCAGAGACAGAGTTGGAGACAGCTTAGCTCAGACCAATTCTCAGGTGAAATTTTTCACTCCACAAACTTGATCTTGTTTGCTAAAGACACTTCAACCATAATTCCAAAAGCTGTGCTGAACTCTTTGACCCATACAGAGTTCACATGAAACATTTCAGTGTCTCATTCCAAATCCTTAGTTTTAATTGACTTTATTTGGAAGGTGGGGGAAAATTCCAACTAGTCCCATGAATCACTGTTGTTTCTCTTCATTAAATAGTCTAGTAAAGGGAAGCGTTGCAACTGAAATGAACCATTATCTTTTAACGTGGAATGTCAGTTGAGGTATCTGTCCTTTTAGTGACTAGGGGATGAGCAACTCCAAAGACAAAAAAAAATACTCTCAAGAAAAGTACTGCGTGATTAACTTAATTCCCACCAAAGCTTCTCCCCGCCTGCTCCACCCCCAATTAGGAAACAGTGGCAAAACTGTAACTCAGCTGTTACACCTGTATGGATATCCTCGTTTCAGTCATCATTTTCTCTAGAGGTGGGTATACATAGGCTTCATTTAAAGTGTGTCTGCCTTCTCCTACTTGGACACTTAGAAGAACTATCCTGAAAAAAAAATAAACTAAGATTTTAGTGTCTAGACACATAGTTCCACCCCAGTCTCGCAGAAAGCAAATTATCAGAACTGTTATAGCCTGCCTTAGATCTTAGAAGGCTGAATCAGTTGGAACTTTTAAATCAATAGAGCTTTTAGTATCTACTACTATTGCCACCTCTCTAACGGATATTCTAGCTTTCGTAATGAGAATCTTGGATATATATTTCTGTAAGACCCTTCCTGTACACAAATGGAAAATCATACTTTCTATGCTCTTCTTCATTCAGAGCATTCACAAGAGCAACATTCACAATCTGGTTAAAAAGAATAAAGATTCTGTGACCTATTGGTGATCACTGTCACTTGGTTCAGTCCACAGCACTCAAAGCCCAAAAAGCTGTTGCAGAATTCTCCTAAATTTTATCGCTCTTAGAGTAGAAAACGTCTGTACTCTGAAAACTTGTGTTTCTGTTTTGATAAGAGTCTACAGATCAGTTAATGTATGAGCACATCTTAGCAGAACAGAATATTCCCTCAATACAGTAAAGATGTTCCTCCTCATGGCAGACCTTGCTTTCCACCTGTTTCAGCTGCTATTTTGACAAAATTAGTTTGCTAGAATCAAAATACAAATTCCACCCCAAGAAAAATCAGTCATTCTGTCTCCTTTTCCAAAAAAAAAAAAAAAAAGAGGTCGGCCAGACATATGCCTGATATATATTGAGGTAGATCTAGGAATACATTCTTCTGCCACTGTCTGTTTTGGGTTTTTTTTAAATGGTGGGAACTATTTGATACATATGAAGGGGGTTGAAATTTGCTCATGGTGACTTTTAATGAAGAATTTATAGGTCAAGTCCCTGCATTACCTGCAGATTTCTTTGTTCATGTGTTATACATTTTATCTGAATTGTGTTTGTATTGTGTCACAGATTTGAAAAGTGATCACTTACAAACTTCCCAAATAAATAATTTTACTCTCAAAATCAATGTTTGACTTTTATAAGATTATATTTAGAGCACTTATTTCAAGAGTTTCACATAAAAAGTGGTGCTTTGCCATTTAAAATCTGTTGACCATTCTCTTAGAAGCTCATCTTATTATCAGATGATGGACAGAATCTTTTTTAATAGGAGTATTTTTAGTAATTCTCATGGAGAATAGCTTCTGAATCTGCAACAGCAGGGAAAAAAAGACTGGAAGAGATCTTCTAGATAACTCTGTCTGTACAGACTTGTATATTCTCATTTTAAGGCTCTTCCCCCTCCACACCCCCCCCCTTTCTTTTATCCAGATTTTTCGATACGCGAATTAAAAATGTTCATTTGTTCTATACAATCTCCCTGGCTTCAAATGTTTGTTGCAGAAGCAGTTTTTAAAAAAATGTGTTTACAGAGGAATATAACTATTTTTTCCTCTTTCCCTTCAGAAAATAGTAAGTAACTCTTCTACTTGTTAATAACCTATTATACTTAAATATTTTACAAGTAATTGGATTCATGAATGTCTTGGAAAATGCCTTTATTTTGTGGTCTAAGGTCATGCTCATTGCATGTGTTGTTTTCTACCTGTAGGTAGACTAATGCATTTAAATTTCTCTTTGCCTGACATCTGGGTTCAAACCCATGGTTTCTTACCAGAGAGTTTGTAACATGTGACCAATTTGTTTACGTGCAGTCAACATGAAGAGTCACAATGAAAGCTTTTTAAAGTAAACTTTGATGTATATACTTTATTGCAATGTTACAGTTGTAATTAAGGAAAATCCAAATACAGTGTGTTCTTCCTGGGTTATCTTTTCCTTCTGGTTTTTTGAAGAGGTGACAGTCTATTATTCTGCTGGGTTCAAGCATCTGTTAGACACCAGATTTTATGATTTCGAACCCCAGCGTATTCCTGTGAACTTCTCGTTTTAAAAACTTTCTCCTACTTGCAAACCTTTTCCTGCCTTCAAATTACGATTTGTGATAGTTGGTGAGGAAATACATGATGAAAGCTGTGAAAGAAATTCTCAAAACCATGACTGCTGTCAGAAGCAGGCAAATCAGGGAAGTCACACGGTAATGACGTGACCTAACTTACAGTCTCATTTCAGTAATCTTAATACTAATGACTAAACAGAATACAGAATCCATAACTGTTTCTACCTAAAATTCTACAGGTAGAGTCAAAGAAAAATAAATTTCCACTTTTGTACATTTTTCCGTACATAAGTTTTTTCCTGAATTTTACAGGAGTTCATTGTGAACAGTGTTCGTTGTTTATTAATACATCGTGTTTAAACAGAGTTCGAACAAAAGACTGTCAGAATTTTAAAAATAAACCAACTATGTATCTAATATTTAATGTATGTTGCCAACACATATGCAGCAGCAATTGCTATTTTTAGTATTGCCATGACTACTGATCACTCTCTGCAACTACTTAAATGTAAATTTTTGTAGTGCTTGAAACAAACCCATGTACTTTTTGTGGCTTCCCTTCGCATTACAGTGCTTCCTTTCTCATTCCATACAACAAGTATTAACTATCACCAGCTCTTCTCACACAGCATCTTACCAGCTAGGCTTTTCTATGGCTTCAAATAGTGACCTCCTACTCTGTGGTGGTAAATGTATAGTGAAGGTGCAGGTAAGGTGGTCCTCACCCACTGCAAGTTGCCTGCAGAATCTACAGTGATCTGCTAGATACTCAAAAACATCTTTAATATCTTTCTTCAGTTATAACCATTGTGTAATCAGTGAATGAATCCCCTCACTGGACTTCTTCCTATGCTTTTGCCAAACTGCAGAATGACTTTTTAAAATGAGTGGTATAGGTGGGTTGGAAGCTCTGTATTACAGGAAAGAAGCCAAAATATCTACAATGTCCAAAGCTGTCCTAATAATGAGCAAACACCTGAGATAACTAGCTTACTGCCTTCGCAGTGCGCAAAGGCTTATCCAACCCCTCATCTTAGAAGGAATGAAGGAGGGCAGCGAGTATTTACCAGATTGCTCCCTGGATTGGGAGCAGGAAGCTTGTAAATACTTCCATTAAGTCCCTGAGAATCAATTAGCTTTACCTCAATCTTATGTCCAGCTAAAGTGACCAACAACCCAAGAGAGAGTTCAAGAGTTTCCCACTTTCCGGATCAGACAGACACAACCCACTCACCTCTGAGGCCAGCATCAAGAGTGAGTTACAGCTCAAAAAAAAAAAAAGAGTGCAGAAGACAACTTTAAACAATCTATGTACACAGTCATTTAGGGTTCATATTTTTAAAATCCTACATACCGCAAGCTGTGGGTGGTGGATGACTGCTTTGCACGAAGTGCAGCAAAAGAAAATGACTGCATATTAATTTGCTGTATACAGAGTCATTGAAAACGTTACTTTTGCAACAGGTCTGTTCCTATTTGCCTGCTTTGCGAGAGTTAGGGATGCATGAGACAAGAAAAATACACCAAGCAAAGAGAAATAAAATAGGGCAACAGCCATGCCCTGGGTCTCAAAGTGTATTAGAGATGCTAAATGGCAATAAGCAGAACCAAGTCAAAGTGCTGCCTGATCTACCGTAAGTAATACCTATAACATCACCAGTTTTATTCTGCTTTGGGGGACAGCTTCTGACCTGACACATTTCTTGAACTTTATGTGACCTGTTTTGTTGTCTACAAATTACTGCAACTGACAGAAAGCTCCATTGTAACACTTCTGGGCTGGGGTTCCCCCTTTCTCCCCATCCTCACTCTTGGTGTGTGTATAGACTGATGTGGTTCTATTTTGCCGGTATTAAAGGGTACATAGAGAAGTTGAACCAGTCATAGAATTATCTTTAAAGAAAGTTTAATTGTGGGCAATTTTATTACTGTTTTAAATACTGTTATAATTAAATGACATAAACATTATGTAATTAAGACATTTTGGAAATGGATAGATTGTATCTGATCTATACAGATAGATGCTGTATAAGTGTGCTGTATATACACATTTAAAAGCATTAAGTACATTTATATTATCTTAAAATATGAAATAGTGATTTTAGACGTGTCCGTTTTCCTTTCTTTTCAGTGACTTTGTCTTTCATAAGTGCCCTTCATTGACAAAGAAGCTTAGAGCAAAAGCAGAAGTTGAGGCCAGATACTCCAAAGAGAATTGCTGCCTTTTGGCTGAAGAGGTACATTTTTGCAACAGAAATACTAAAGGTATTCTATGTATCTAATTTTGTTAAGAACTTTACATGGTTAGAATCAACAGTTTCAGGTTTAAGAATCAACAGTTTCAGGTCTAAAAATCTTGTCCTGATGAATGCTGAGCTAAAGTGTTGGGTTATGCCTAAGAATTCTTTTTTTATGGTTCCTGTTTCTTTTTTCCAGTGTCTGTTTATAAAAGGAGGAATTGTCTATATGGTGGAATAAAACTGTGTTCTTCGTTCCCCTCCCCCTCCCAGATATTAAATACAGTGTACAGCTTGTGTGAGCTCATTCCAGTCTTGCCTGCCTTACTTTGCTAATCCACCTCAACCTGTGCTTGGTAGGATCAACGTCTTCTGATTTGAAAGTATAATTCAGTCTTCATCTCTTTCAGTCCTAGACATTTTGTGAACAAAGACTGAGGAGTATGCTATGTTACATAGCTGTGTTAAGCATATGGACTGTTTTCTTCCAGGCATTCAGCCCAGACTATGAAAGGCATTTGGCTTTTGTCTTAGCTATACTGGAACCCAAGTACCTAAGGAATAAAACAGCACTGCAGTAATTCATTTGGTTCCTACTTATTACACAAACTTAATAAATCGTACTTTACATGAGCCTTTACCTGAACAGAATTACTTACTGGAACTACTTTTTGTCATCTTCATCATCAGAAATTTACCTATATCACTTAAAACACCACTATATTAATGTGACACCCAAGAGAAGGCTTAGAAAGAAGTGGCAACAGCAAGCTGAGGTTGTTCAAAAATTAAAACCAGAATTGCATCACAGTGAAGGACGAGAAAAACCCTCACCCTCTTGTGGGATTTAAGAGAGCTTCCGTAACAGAGCCAGACCATGCATTTTTAAAATTGGTTCCCTTTCACTTTATTGCTTTTGCAAGTAAAATTGATGTGTGAATTATTAGATGCTGACTTCTACAAAAAAAAAGTGAGCTGAAGGGCTAGGGTAAAAAAAAACCAAAAAAACAAAAAAACAAAAAAACTTGATTTTTTTCTCTATTCTTCCCCTGCCAAAATTACAAGTAGTATCTTCTGTTGAAAGAATGAGTATGGAGCTGACAGATTTACATAGTGAAGGTATTAATATAACAAAATATACCATGTAAATCTTATCGCAAATGCTGAGAGATTTAGCCTCAGATATTTTTCATTTCTAAGATGTTTGTTGCATCATCGTTCACCTGGCATCAAGATTTTCCTCTGGCTCTTATTCAAACCTAATCGTTTAGTGAGAGCAAAACAACGTTGAGAATGGGTCTGAAGTTCTTACCATGCAGAAACTTAACGGTGTCTTTACATAGAAGCAGCAGTTCTCAGTTGCTTGCTGTTCAATTTTTCACACTTACTTCAGCTTTACATGGGACTAAGGCTTGGGATTTTTTTTTTCCAGGGGATTTTCTTTTTTTATTATTATTATTGTTGTTAGGACCCCTTCATTTACTTCTCTCCCTTTCCCCCCCTCCCTTGCTACTGTAGCCAAGTCAGACAGCCTATTGAGAAACAGCAAACCATCTGTTAACGGATTTGAAGTTCTGAATTATACTTGAGTGTGTAGAGGCACTCGTGCTTAGCCAGAAACATTCATTTGAATTAAGCTATAAATGCTGTGTAAAAAGAACCATACATTTTAACGTAGGTTCATGAATAAATTTAAGGGAGGGCAACTGCACTCTAAAGTTTTATTGCTTCAAAACCCAGTATTTTCAGTGTTCTGTGATCACTTGGTGCTTTTATAGTGTGATTGAAGCCTTAAACCTTGAACTGGGGGGAGATAATTCCTGTGTTAAACCGTTTGCAATACAATTTCATTGCTGGATCTCTTGTGGAACAGAAGCTCTGTGGGTTTTTTTGAATTTTCTTAAAAGATGGTTAAACAGGATAAAGGAAAATCTTACTCATTATTGAATTTTCTGGCACACAGCCAGGTCTCCTAGTTCCAGGCACTTTGATTATTTTCTTTAGTTGCTATCTTGCCTAGTCTAGTGTAATCTATTAATTTTTTATGGTAGGAGAGACAGCCCTGCATAAAGCTTGCATAAGTAACCAAGTGGAGACACTGATTCAGCTTCTCTCTTACCCTGGAACAGACATTAATGCTAAAGGTAAGTTATTAATTTTCTCTACAGAAAGGAGAAATTAAGCCAGATAAAGAACCGTATTAATAGGAGTCTGGTAATACAGTTTATATTTATTCTATTAAAACTGTCTTTACTATTTTAAACAACACAAAATGATGACTTTACAGCAAACATGGAGGAGAGGTTAATTTATAGCTAAAGTGTGTTTTAACATCACATTTTCTATTAATTTTTAAAAATGCTATTTAATTTTTTTCAGATGTTTTCCGGTAGAATTTCTTGTTCTGAAATCACAGGCTGCCACTGTAGCTGTGATGAATACTAAAAAGTAAAGTGTTTTGCTGTCTAATGAATTACATTATTAACATTTTACTACTACTTCTGCTGTTTTAAAACTTCCCTTGATTTATAATTCAGACTATGCTGGCTGGACGCCTTTGCATGAAGCCTGTAACCATGGCAGCACAGTGTGTGTCCGTGAAATTTTGCAACGTTGTCCAGAGGTAGACCTGCTCAGTCAAGTGGACGGGGTGACTCCTTTGCATGATGCACTGTCAAATGGACATGTAGAAATTGGCAAGCTGCTACTTCAGCATGGGGGTGAGTGCATTTATGCTAAACTGGTTTAGGGAAATTATCCGCTGTTCTGAGTCCATGTGAAGTTGGTGGTGTTTTTCTTAATAGTTGCTTAAAGTACAATGTTGTTATTAAATACTTATTTTAAAACATTTTTAACTAAGCTGTTCTCGTCACAATAAAAGTAATACTGTTTTCACACTTACCTTGATCAGCTGAATATGAAATTAACCAGGATTTTCATATTTTTTCCAATATGGTAATGTTTTTATTCTGCATTTTACACCATATGCATTGTATCTATATCCTCCAGACTCATTAATGAAGATAAAGATTACCTAGTCACTAAGCAAAGCTAAGGATTTTCTTTTGTTTTGATCTATTTTTACCGTGATGCAAAAATAGATCAGTAAATCTCTATATAATGATGTATTTCAACATAAATTTGTTCAGCATTTATGAAAATTAATGTGATGGTCTTTGAAGAGCACAATTAGCTTGGTAATTAGTTTAAGAAAGGAATCTATATTGTAATTGTGATAACTGCTGTTTAGGGATAATAGTGGGAGGGATGCCTTAGTTTCTAAAAAAAGATACATTGCCCCTTAGGCAGATACATGATAAATGTTTTGAACAATATTTTTTTGTTCACTGACAGTGAACTTCTATCTTGTCTTCAAATATGCTGTATCAATATAATTAACTTAGCATGTTTTTTAAAAAAACAGCTGCAAAGAGTTGTCTCTAATATCAACTCTTCCTTCTTTTAATTATTTACTAAAATGAATATTTGCAATATCCTTTACCATTGACATACTGTGTCAGTTTAATCTCTCTGCAATATATGCAGAGTCCAGAATTTTTCAGTAAAAATCATGGTGCGTACAGCCATGAGGCAGAAGAGTGTACTGTATTTAGATGGCCTATTACTTAAGGTAGAGAAACAAAATTTTATTTCGTTCTTGGCATAGGACCCTCTGTATTTACAGTCTTCTCCTGCCCCCTAAAGGCTATTTCTGTGTCTGTTGTGCAAGCACCGGCTCATAATCAATACATTCCTCTGCAGTTCTACCTCTCTGTTTGCTGAGCTTCAGTTCTCTGGCTCCCAGGTGTTTTATATATCTACTGAACCGTGTATCTGACATGCCAAGCCAATACCTGGGCTCGGTTCAATCGGTCTAAGTGATGCAATAGCCAATACTGTAGTAAGCGCAGCTCCTCAATTGGTAGTGGCATTGTGCTGACAGATGTGCATTTTTCCTAGGCTATTGTGAAGAATAGGTACCGTATGATCCTGTTGTCCTAGGGGAAGAGCTCTCCTTGCACTTGCATTCATCAAGGTTTTCTGGCAACTGTAAGGCTGTGTGTACCCTTATCTCTGCCTTTGTCACACTCTGGGTTTTGGCCTGTCAGCTGAGAAGACTATGGTAGAAAGTATGTTACCCATTCACTGTGGATTTACTCAGCCCAATAACTTAGAACACGTCTCTGCAAAATCTTCCCGCTTTCTTTCTCTAAAAAACCTTCAGCTTGCAAAATTTAATTGTATTGCATAATCAATGAGGGAGTAAAACAATACAGCTTTAATCACAGCAAAGTGAAAACCTCTAGTATGGATATGTAATGTGGTGAATTGCCTCTTGTAATTAAAATACATTTCTGAAAATGTATTGCAAGTTAAAATGGCATTGTTACTTTAGCATAGTGACCCAAATTTGTGTAAGAGGATTACCAACGTGTTCATCTTCAAGGAACACCACCTGTAGTGTGTTCACTGCTGTCAATTTTTTCTTACTAGTGCAGCCTTCCTTAAACTTACCAAGATGTCTCTAAACTGTTTAAATATTATTAGCACCACTGTACTAATAAACAGGAAATACCAAAAGACTGTAGTAAAACATATGTCCTATTTGCATACTTTCAATCTATTTATTAGGGTAATTACTTTTTGTATTTCAGAAGTCTGTTAAGGCCAAATTTTGAAACTCAGTTGTTGGGAGAGTCTAGGATTCATACCTCGGTAGTTTATGTTGCTGCGTAGCCTCGGACAAGGTTGGCCACACCATCTGGAAAAGTAAAATAAAGACCGTCATAGTAATGTGCCTGTAATTTGGAGTCAGTGTCAGCAAATAACTTGGTCTATAAAACACTTAGTAGAATTTTACAACAGTAATAACTTTACATTTTTATATACTCTGAGTATCGTTACTTGAAATTTTAGGATAAATCAACATTTTAATTTCTTTTCCATTTCTATATAATAGTCCTTGGCTTCCAACCGAGCAAAACTGGGAAGAAAACTAAGCCAATATTGTAAAGAAACTGTTACAAAGGGTCTCTCTACATGTTCTAGGCTGCATTACAAATCTGTAACTCATCAGTTACATCAACATAACTTATTACAAAAAGGAATTTTAACAGACCTCTGGCAAAAAAACAAACCAAAATCTTGTTCGGCTGCCAAATGGAATGTGCTGTTATTAATGTTTGTGTTTTCCTGCAGGACCGGTCCTTCTACAGCAGAGGGACTCTGAAGGGAAATTGCCGCTGGATTATCTTGAATCTGTAGCAGTAAAACAAGAACTTTTCCGTGTTGTTCATCCAGAAGAGAATGTTGAAAGCTTCTGTGAACGCACAGAACAAGATTTTTGCAGTCAGCAGAGAGAACTGTGGTTGATTTTATTTAGTAAGATGTTGCTGAATTTTTGTTCAGTTTATAACCTGTCTTCACCCTTTACTTTAACTCTGAGAGAGGCAGCTTGTTCAAATGTACTTCAAGCAATGGCTCGTGGTAATTGTAGGATGAAAAATAAGTTTTGTGCAGGTTGGTTAGTAGATACGTATTTTAGAGAGCTGGAAGCTTTTCAAAAGCTACCACATTTTATTCAAGAAATATCTGCAAACATGGCTTTTTTCCATGAAGAACAGGTGCAGGCCTTATTAGCAACTCTGGAAACTATGGTACAGGCATATCAGCTCTTTTCTTAAATCTTTTTAACAGTTAGTTTCCAAACAAGGTGCATTGCTTGAATCTTGACTGTTATCCCTTGTTATCGGGCTAGCTTTTTTTTTTTCCGGCAACCAAAGAAGTACAAATTTCACAGCCCTGCACAAGCCTTACATATTCGTATCTCCCACGTTGGTAGTACTTCCGTCTACCAGGACCTGGAAGTCAGATGCGTTGATTCAGTGCGGGTTTTGCGCAAGATTTTTCCAATACCACTGCCCTCTCGTTGTCTGACAGATCTTGATGCCTGTGACCACTTCAGGAGGGTGCTATATCATTTGCACTAAGTTAAACATTTTGTTTTCTGTCCTGGAAATCTTTGTTACCGGTCTCATGCCCTAGTTCAGTTTGGTTTCTGGAGGTAGTGACCCTAAAGTTAGGTGAAGCTGAAACGCTGCCACAAGCAGTTTTTCCTTGAGAAGGGCTTGTGTCTACGTATTTTAATGTCTTTTAATAAAACTGGTGTTATAATGGCCTTGTCATTAAACAAAAACATGCAGAAAAGAAAATTCCTTTGATCCACTTTTGTCTTACTTGTCCTTGTCTTGTAAAAATTAAAATTATGTTGTGTAAATTAATTATATCTTGTAAAATTCAAAACAGAAGGTAGTATATTTATATAGTGTATTTACAGAATCAGTGTACTAGCATTTCCCATGTCTTTGATAGAAATGGTCACCCAAAGGCATGTGGGAAATCTCCCTCATGAGCACCATGGCGCTCATGGTCATGTTCATTCATGCAGTGACTGACTTGAGGAGGCTGGCCCAGATACTCGAGTGATTTGTGAAACTCCAGTGGGTACCACTGGCTAGAGCTTTCAAAGGATCAAGTCACCTTGTTGCTTCGCAGGACCATGATGCTACAAAGGGCCAAATCCACCCTCAGCATCACTTACGGTGTCCTTGGCTCAGCTCTAACTCAGTTGGCATGCAGTGGTTTGGTAAATCCATTGCACTGGCAGTGCATGAAGTGATCTGGTAACACTCCTGGGATTCACTCAACTAAAGATGCCGGTGGAAGCAGTGGCACAAATCTAGTTATGTTGGAATTTACAAAGGATTAGACAAGACAGTTTAAATATGTACTGGGCATCAGATTCTGACACTAAGTATGGATCTCCTTAAAATTACACCCCATTTAATATGAGAATTTTGTTCTCCATTCTGTGAATACGTGCAAACCACACATGATAAATCCTCTAAACTAATCCTCTAACCTAATTTAGGGTTGTGTGCTACGTATTCTATCAGATGGTCCTTTTAATTAATTAAGAAAAAGAAAATCCTGTGCTGTTCTTAAAAGGTATTGAGGCTCACAAGACAGCTGAACTACATCATTGTGCTGCTATGGAGATGGGGATGCAGAAGAGTTAGGTCTTTTGGAGAGCCCTTAGTGCACATTTACACAGCAAAACCAACTCTTCCTACCTTGTATCTTTGTAGAGATCCAGTGCCAAATTCATTCCAGAATTTCTGGGAAGTGAGATCCCTCTAAGGGAAGTTTATCCTTCCCCATTCCAAGGGAAGAGAAGGAAGTGCTGCTCTGTCCTGTGGATACCTGTTTCTTTTCTAATAGATTTGATAATAGACCCGGAGTAATTTAAAATCTTAGCCTTTGAAAGGAAGGTACTAATTAGCAACGTTTCCAGTTCCAATTCTTCTATACTAGCAATTTAGAATATTAAAAAAAGGACCCTAAAAGACAGGGTGTGGGTAATAGCAGCTTCTGAAATTGATGTTGCTTGACTGGAGGGAGTAAGTTGCATTGATGCAGCTGGCTTGCAGCACATTAAAACTCCCATTTAGCCTTTCTGCAGCTGAGATGCATGATCTATGGACTCAAGCTGCACCTGGGTAGGTTTAGGCTAGATATTAAGAAAAAATTATCCACTGAAGGGATTGTCAGGCATTGGAATAGGCTGCCCAGGGAGGTGGTTGACTCACCATCCCTTAATGTATTTGAAGGTCGTTTGGATGTGGTACTTGGCGATAGGGTTTAGGGGTGTACTTCATAGAGTACGGCTGATGGTTGGACTTGATCTCAAAGTTGTTTTCCAACCTGAATGATTCTATGATGTCATAGTAATCCGGTGAAGATGCTCAGACTGAGTTGATCTTGGAACCAGACTTTCATTACAAATATTCAGTGTTTATTAATGACTGATTATTATCATAGAATACCTCAAGGATCATGTAGTCCAACCTTTCAAGGTTAAAAATATAATTTAAATGACATAGCCCTGCACCTTGTCAAGCTGAGTCTTAAAACTGTCCAATGTAGGGGAATCCACCACTTCCCTTGAGCGATTATTCCAATGTCTAATTGTCCTCATGGTGGAAAAGTTTCTTCTGGAGTCCAATCACAATCTCTCCAGAAGTAACCTGTACTCATTACCCCTTGTCTTTTCCATGTGACTCCTCGTAAAAAGGGAGTCTCCATCTTCTCAGTAGCCACCCCTTATGTACTGATACATGGTAACAAGGTCTCCCCTAAATATTCCCTTTTCAAGGCTGAACAAACCCAGTTTTCTCAGCCTTTCTTCATGTGGCGGGTCTTCCAGTCTAGTCCTCTGATTATCATAATGGCCCTTCTCTGGACCCTTTCCAGCTTGTTCACATCTTTTTTGTATAGCGGGGACCAAAACTGAATGCGGTATTTTTATACATGCATGCAGAACAGCCTGCTCTGATGGCATAAAGTGTCAGCACATACTGGATTTGTTTCTGTTTGTGCACTTTTTTATTTTCCTCCAGTAAAAAAAGCAACACCTTTGTCATATATAAGATGGACTAATAAACATCTGCATTCCCTGTTGCAGGACGTGATGAAAGAAATGCTACATACATACTTTCTAAAGAATGCAAAATACACATTTAAGTTGGTGATACTAAGATTTTCTTTATAGTAATGAATTTGAAAATTAAAATAACTGGGACTCGGAGAACCACAGAAGAAGAGTTCTGGTGGATCTGGAAAAGCAAACGCTTCAGAATATTCCTGTCTGTTCCTAATATAATAGATTAGTGACTGAGACGAAAGCAGGAAAAGCATTCTGTGGTCTGAGAAAGATGCTGCTTGTATATCCAAGATACTCATACGATTATTTGCTATTTTGTCATTTGGACAGGAAGTAAAGCACATCAGTCATTTTTAAGTCCTACTTACCTGTTTAGACTAAATTCAAGTACACTTCTCCAGAAGATATGGTAAAGAGAGGTAGATGACGTATGCTGAATGAACATTATTAACATTGCAAAATGAAACATGCGGAAGTTAGCAAATGTCTGAATTAATATTCCACGTGTAGCCCCAACTTAAATATTGTCTGTGTGCGTCATCAGTCTTTAATTATATGGTGTCACAATTTTGCTCTCTCTAATATTCTCTCAATTTAAGGATCATATACTGAAAATTTTCCTGTTATTTCCAAGTAACGCTTTTAACAGTGTTCAGTTTTATACATACTGAGTTTTATGTATACTCAAGTTTGCAAACTCCATATCCTTAAAAAATCTTAACTGTATCTCAGTCGTATTTAACATAAAATTATGTGCTTCGTCTAATTTATTAGAGTACCTGTTCTCTTTCAGAATAGCAAAACTTGCCTGTTAAATCATGATGGCAATAATGTGAGATCTATTAAGGGATTAAACTGTCTTGCTTTTTAAGATCCCTCTCAGTATGCAGGGTATTTCCCACTTCCTGGCTGAGTTAAAAGAACAAACAAAATCAGCCCCCCTCCCCTTTTTCTCTCTGCCCACTTTTCACGTGCCAACGTGCTTCACAAGCATGAAGGTACATCTTCATCCTCAATCAATATTATTTTTCCGAGGCCTTTAAAAATGTTCTTCATCATTCTCCATCTTCAGCATACAGTGGGAGAACACCGCTTCTGTGTGTGTACCAGATGCTGCCCAGCCAGACGAGTGACAGTGGCCAGCAGCAGGATGGTTGCTAGCAGCAAAATAGATGCTGGAACGCAGCAGATACACAGTCAGGAATTACAGTGGCATTCAAAGATGTTGGCCGAACTTCGGAAGTTTCTGAAAAACTTGCATTAAGGTGAATTTCAGTGTTATGTTTTCTCTGACAAATACTCTTTTTTTGCACACTAGTGCCATTACTAGATATGAAGCACGTCGCTTTAGGTGCAAAAATCTTGGTGGTATTTGGAAGACATTTTACAGGGTGTTTCTTGATTTCAAAACGGTCACACTCATTGGCAAATCTACTGCCAGTATACTAGGAGTCTGGGCTCAGGGGTTTTGCTGTTGGTTTGTTTTATTTTTATTTAGGAGCAAAGGTTAGCTTATAAAATTTAAATTTTCCTGTAGCTTCAATAACCATTTAAAATTTGTTATAACAGAGGGGAGGCTCAAACCTCAGAGCCTGAGCTCCCTTTAAACTGTGTAGCTCTAACTAGGCCTGAAGATCTTTCCTGCACTATGATCCTGACTGATGCTAAATCGCTGCATTGCAGAAGGGGCAGCATCACGAATGCCCTGTGATTTGCCCCTGCCTTGTGCCCCTGTACCCAGCACTGGTGAGGCCGCACCTTGAATGCTGGGTGCAGTTTTTGGGCCCCTCACTGCAAGAAGGACATTGAGGTGCTGGAGCATGTCCAGAGAAGGGCAACGAAGCTGGTGAAGGGTCTGGAGCACAGGTCTTGTGAGGAGCAGCTGAGGGAACTGGGGTTGTTCAGCCTGGAGAAGAAGAGGCTGAGGGGAGACCTCATCGCTCCCTACAACTGCCTGAAAGGAGGTTGTAGTGAGCTGGGGGTTGGTCTCTGCTCCCAAGTAACAAGTGATGGGACAAGAGGAAACGGCCTCAAGTTGCACCAGGGGAAGTTTAGATGGGACATGAGGAAAAATTTCTTCACCGAAAGGGTTGTCAAGCATTGGAACAGGCTGCCCAGGGCAGTGGTGGAGTCACCGTCCCTGGAGGTGTTTAAAGGACATGTAGGTGTGGCATTTCAGGA